GGTATCTCCGCTTCTTTCTCTGTTGCATTCTCATACTTTTCTCTAACCTCTATCACATCATCTTCTTCTGTAATCTCAACTTCCACCTCAGACGGCCTAGGTGGGTCTATGGTTTGCTTACCCCCTCGAGTAGTAACTGCCATACAATGACCGTCATTCTTTAGATTCTAAATGGTGTTGCTAGGAAGAGTGTCAGGTTGACGTGGGTTCACTATAGTAGACAATTGTGTCATCTGCTGCTCTAGGTGCTTTATTGACACTGCGTGTGCATCAACCTTTTGTCCAATACCAGACAAGTCGCTTCTCATCTCCTTCACATTCTCATCAGTTGCATCAAATCTTCTCATCATCTTCTGCATCATATCTTCAATGCGTGCCATATTGCCTCCAGTTTCCCTAGCACTAGATTCCCGATTTTGAAGAGAAACATAAGGTCCAACCCGATCGTTTCTGTTTCCGTAATTGTTCCTGTTGTAGTTGTTGTCGCGATTGAAGCTCCTATCCCGAACATAGTGACCCTCTCGGTTGTAATTTCCATAGTTCCGACCTTGGCGCCAATTTTTCGTGTTGATCCTTGGGCATTTGGTCGGAAACCCCCCGTCTGATCATTCACAGCATAAGCATCCTCTTCATAGTAACACTCTTCAACTGGTGGTGGAGTTCTAGATAAGTAATTCACAGCATTTACCTTTTCTGCTCCTCCGCTCACATGCTTCAATACCAACCCCAACTTTGTCCTCATCTGGGCCATCTCCTCACGAATGTCATCTGCAGAATTGACCGTGGTATAATGAACGGCAAATGTGTTTCTCCCAGTATCTGTCCTCCTAGTGCTCCATGCTTTATTGTTGCGAGAGATCCTCTCCAATTTTTCAGCAATCTGTGCATATGTACAATCACCATATGAACCGCCGACAATAGTGTCAAGTACTGCTTTATTGTTATCATCCTGTCCTCGATAGAAATATTCATTCAGTGACTCATCATCAATACGGTGATTTGGGACACTTCTAACAAAGGCAGTGAATCTGTCCCACGAGCTACTCACAAACTCTCCAGGTAATGCCAGAAAATTGTTGACCCTATCTTTGTGATTGAGCTTCTTGGACACTGGATAGTACTTTGCTTTGAACCATACTGCAGCATCGCCTATCAGTGAACCATACTGCAGCATCGCCTTTCAGTGACAGATGGAATACTCGTAATCTAATTACATCCATATCCAAATCTGGTCTACCTACACAACTTTTGCAAACCACCCTTAGATTGGCCAAGTGAGCATGTGGATCCTCCGATGGCGACCCTGAAAATAAGCCTCTTGCTGTAAGCATCTGCATCAAACTACTAGTCACCACAAATGTGTGTCCTGGAGGTAGAGGAGGTAGGACAATAGGTCCATCAGAGCCTGCTATATCGATGTTGCCCCGATACTGGTCATGTTGTTGTGGGCCTGGTGGACCATGCACTCTCATTGCATCTCCCAATTGATTTTCAGCTAGACCCCGGCTTTCCTCACCAACTACTCTTAGCTGTTGTAACTCAACCGCATCACCAAGATTTACTCCGATAGGATTAACTAGAATTCCTT